GTGCTGCAAATGAGAGAGTGGAAACCGAGCTAATTCCAGAACAATTAGCGATGAATTGGATAAATATGGTCCATGAGATCCACACTGACGGCTACAGCACTGATAGTGTTTAGAGACAGGATGGAGATAGTGTTTTTATATGTATTAGTCTGGTATTAGCATGTGTCTACATCACTATTTCCCAAATTTTTTTTCTGGAGACCCATATTTCAAAAATCACAAACCTTCACGATCCAAGTCAATAGACATTATTCGTAAATCACAAAATAAAGGTGAGTTTGACCATTATTGAACATTAATGTTGACTGAGTGAGTGTGTCTGTCTGAACAATAAGAATTGAACCAGCAATAAAAGGGATCCATAAGTCGCCTATTTGGAGATTAAATGTAACCCGTTTCTTTTTCTTTTCAACATTCAACTGAACCAACAATATGAGAAAAAAATAGTCAATAAAATAATTACAAAAAGATTAGAAATTATACAAAACATGTCTTAACATTTCAACATTTCTAATGAGATAGAAGGGCCTGTCTGCCTTTTTGTAGTGTGTTCCAGTCCGGGGTGCAGGAGGAGAGCGCAGCACACATATCAGTGTCAGAAGTATATATTGCAGACCTACATGCAAACCGTGACAAGGTGACCCCAACAAAAAAAATCTCTTGCGACCCACCTGTCGAAACCCAGTCTTTGGGAAACAATGGTCTCTATGTTATGTTCTATGTCTGTCCTCTTTATGTTTATTTTTCTGTGTGTCAGCCTTGCATTTTTCAATTACAGTGATTTATTGCTCAAAAATATCTTGTTACTTGCTACTGTGATCGGGGTTGCCTCTCCACAGATATGACCAATAATTTAATCTGGTGGCATGATGTGTTTGTCTGCATGGAGATAGATAATTCCATACTGTGAAATGTCTCAGGTAACAATAACATCTCAAAGAAGACAATAGGTGGCTGACTCTCTACTGGAAAAGTTACATATGCACATTTGAACTTCAAATGACTGCATGGACGGATAGATAGAGAGACAGGTTGTTTGTACACTTAGAGTACAGCACACAGTTCTCTCTGTGGCAGATGTGGGCTAAACTTCACAGTGGATCAGAGTCAGGAGCCTGTTTCTGGTTCACACACAAACAGACCTCCTCTGCTCTGAGTTTTCTTATCAGGATTCACACAGCCCATTGGACAGAGGCTGTATCATGCTTTATTTACGAGCTCTGAGCAAACTGAACAAGTTGGATGTGAAAGTTTAATTTGGGACATGCAGAATTTACTATGAAGATTATATAATATACAGTAGTTCTCAGCAATATATTAATACAATATTGCACTTGACACATTTGCTCTCTACAACATCATACACAAGATTAATGGTGTGTGTTGCTTTCCATAATGAATATGTTATTTGCATGATTTAATAACAAAACATGACAAAAATGAACATCTTTTATTTTATTGTAGATTTTTTTGTAGATTATGATCACCTGTGTATCTGTGTTTTACAGTCTAAACTGAAAAATAACATATCTTGGAGATCATATTAGTAAAATGTACTTAAGTAGCTAGTGCTGTCAATCAAAATTTTTTTTCCATTATTTCAGATACAAGATGCTTGTCTTTTATTCTGAAAGATGGACTTTAATGTAATAAGGGAAATAGCTGGAATGAAAACGTGTGAATAGCTTTTCTGAAGCTATACTGCCCTCATCTGGGACTGAAGCTCAAATTCTTTATCATTACGTTCACTGTGTTCAGTGATGGGAAGAATACTTTGAAAATGTATTTAGTTACACAATACTCAATACCTGCATTAAAATCTATTTTGTAACATATTTTAATACAAGGTCGCACCTGCACTCACCGCAAGAGTAGAATTTCATATTTTCTGAGTGACTATGTGCAGTTTGAAGCTTAAGTTACATAATCAACTTCCCTTAAGTAACTGTATTCTGAATGAACGTGTAACTGTACCTTAATACAGTTACTCATAATTTCTATTCAAAATATCTGTTCTCAGTACATGTATTCAGTTACCTCCCGATAATAAAAAATGATATGTTTTGGGTATCACCACGGACAACAACAACAACAATATGAAGAGGCATAAGTATTTTTTTACTCACTAAAGACACTAATAATCTTACTAAAACACAGCAAGACTCTTTGTTATTTTATTTCCCTGTAATGAACTGAGTATTTTACACCTACACATACAACCACCAGATGGCAACAGTGGCCTATTTAAATAAACAAGGTGTATTCTCTTTTGTTTCTTTAGGATGCAACTATAATTGCTCCATAAAGCATTGTGATTTCATTTTTTGGTTCTACAATATAATTATTTCTACATTAAATTAAGTAATGGTTTTGGCTTCTTAAACTGTGACAGTTCAGAGATAAAATACTCACAGTTGTTCTACTGTGTGCTGGTCCATGTGACACTGGTGTTATCCTTTTCTGGAACAATCTGTCATGATGTGAAGTCATATTTTTGCCCTTGTTGCTGTTAGACTCTAAAATGCTTTAATGCACTCTCTACATGGATGGGAAAAAAAACTGAATTCAATAAGTGCAATTTGCAGTAATGGAAAGTAGTCAGGGAGTGATGCTCTTGCAAAGCATTAAATGTGGATCCCATTATTTCAGTTTTAAATGAACCTCAGATCTTCCAGTCCACATGCCATATGCATTTAAATGAACAAATATCTCTGTACCATATTTTTATTACCAAGTCATTTAGTAACTATTTCATTATTGATTTAGCTGTAAAACAAATGATGCATTAGCACTGAGTTGTTAGGGCCATTTATTGTCGATTCCCCTTTTGACAGAGCAAGGCTTACTGAGTCTGAATGTCAAGCAGGAAAAAGCCAATGAGTTCCTGTTTGGTATTCCCTCCACATCTGTGCACTATTGTCTGACTTTTACAAAGCTATGTTCAACCATGTGCATGAGCAGAGGGGTTAACTAATGGAGACCTGTCATAGATTTACCTAGAATAAATCTGAACTTGTTTAACCTTTATGTTGCTTTGTTTACAGATAGAATCGTTTAGGAACTTGGATGCAAATTAAAGGGGCCATATTATGCCATTTTCTGATGTTATAATGTTGTTTCCTCATCAACATATGATACCTGAAGTTGTGTTTTGATTCATTCACATGTTTTTAACACAAAAACCCTCTACTAAACAAAATGGAAAATTGTAGCTATTAACTTGAAAACTACTACTTCATGACATCACAAGGTGGAACGAACAGAGCATTTTGAGCTTTGGAGATGCAGACGAATTAATAATAAATGATGTGTGAATGAAACAAAACACAACTCCAGGTATGTTTTTGATGAGATAACAGCATTATAACATGGCTTAAAGCTATCAAGAGTAATATAGGACCTTCAACACAGCCACATTGTACATTCAGAGGTCATTCAAATGTATTATGGGTAAATTTGGGTGAGCTGAATCAGCTTAAGTTATGGATGAAGAGACGCAGGACTGTGCAGCAGGCAGCGTGGGGAGTGTTGAGTGGGCTGAGCAAAGTTAAATGCCACCAACAAACAACACACTTAAAAACTGATTTTAGGAGTATTTTATATGGCAGCATAGATATATTTTTATGAATTACATACTCCTCCTATGCAATTAAAATTATAGATATAGAAAAATAGACTGCGGTGTGATTTTATGATATAGGACTTTTGTAGTAATGGGACTTTTGGCTCTGAATCTTTAGGATCTGTTCATTATAGGCTCAAATCTGTTTAAAATGGTTCAAACTGAGAGTGGGAGTATGTTTACCATATGGCATTATGTTATTAAGAAACCAGATAGTATATTTTTGGCACAGAGCTCTCACTTGCCTACTTTGCGTTTGTGATTCTTGTGTTGGTTCAGTATCATTGTAAAAATGCTTAAAAATGTAAATAAATAAAATAAATAAATAAATACAATAAAATGAAATGAAATAATTATTCAAAAGAGCCGGTTCGTTCACAAATATCACATCATTAGACTTTTGTTTTGCTTGTAATGAAGATTGCTTCGTTCACAGTGAGATACTCTAGGGTCATGCAAGTAAAATTGGTCATATCTTGCAGTTATCTCAGAGTAATTTCTCGTCGTTGACCAGCAGAGGGCAGTAGGTGTAACGTAACATATGGCGTATCATGGGCTTGACTGCGTAATTCCCTCCAACACTTTTTTTTTCTTCAACTTTTAGAATTGTAAATGACAGACGAGTGCGACGGCTCCATCTGCTCCGCTGACAGTGCTCATGGTAAATGCTAATATGTGTTTCCTTTAGCTTAGGAGGTGGGCGGTTAAGCTAGATTGATTTCCCAACCTTGTAAGACTCGTGTGAGCTTTAAGACATGTTAGGATGTCGTTACCTCCTCAATAACATACTTGGAATTGTGTTTTGTTTCATTCACACGTTTGAGTAACCCTTTGTTATTAAGTCTGTCTACATTTCCAAAGCTAAAATGTTTCAACAGCTACCTTTTCTTTTTTGTTCAGTATGCATTGTCAATTCCAGGAAAACATTAACATAGATCAGAATATAGAGTAATAGACCCTTTAACATGTCCTCTATGATCTAAATCCTAATTTAAAAACAGAAATAGCAAAGTAAGCAAAGTCGCACTAATCTTTTGGAAAAAAAACAACAAAAAAACCCATACAAAATATGTTGCATCCCATATGTAGGTAGCAGTAGATGACTAGTTATAGTATTAGCAACTTTAGTAGTAGCACATGTATGAAGAGAAGTAGTGGAAAGTATAATCTCTGTACATTTTTACTTATGTACATTTTTATTGAAAGTGTTACGTAATACTAATTTGGATTAGCAGTACATGCACTCACATTTTTCTCTTACCAATGTCAGCTATTGTACATTTATTATAATATTTAATTTTCTATTAAGGTTATTACTGTGACTTATGCGACATTATTCTGTCTTCTACAGTTTTCAAGTCACCCTTATTTGGCTCCCTCTGTGCCTGGCTTTTGCAGTAAGTCCTACATCACGGTAATACTCACCCCAAATACCATTAAGATATATACGATACTTTGAACGAGCATAAGACACTGGTGATGAATGAAGTCTGAGCCAATAGGGAAAAGGCAACATAAAGGGAAGGGCCTGAGGTGGAGAGTCGCTATAGCAACCACTTCCCACTTTTATGTGAGTTGGCCTTCATCAGATCACAGCAAAGACTTTCGATCTGGAGTTACTTTGCCCACACAAAGATAGATGATACCTCTAGTGTAACGCATTCATACATCAACGGCAAGGCTCGAGCTAATCTGCATGATCATATTTTCAAATGAAGAGCTCCATGGTGATGAATTAAGCCGCGCATTTTGACCGGTAATAGTCGTGTACTGCAGATTGGATTAGTGATATGCAAAATGTATATATCCTGCCATTAGAAGCTATTTTAGTGTCCAATGTCACCCACACACCAGCTGCAAAAACCTGTAATTAATGGGCTTGTTGTATGTATGAATGAAATATAGGGTATGCTTTTAAGACCATCATAAAGAGTCTTGAGAGCTCTATGTAGTACATGCTATTATTCTTCAAGTCATGGTCAATAATAACAAGTTAAAGGCCCTATATTACACAAAATGGACTCTTGTGAGCTTTAAGCCATGGCATAATGTTGTTACCTTTTCAAAAACGTACCCAGAGTAGTGTTTTGTTTCATTCACGCTTGTTTGAGAAACCTTTTATTATTAGTCTGTCTACATCTCCACCTTGTGATGTCATGAAACTGTTTGTTTTTTTGTTTTTTTTTGTAAACAGCTACGTTTTACCTTAAATTCAGGACAATGGGGGGTGGAGGGCTTGTTTTTATGTTGATTATTGTATTTTTCTGTTGTCTTTAAGAAATAAAAAAATTATAATAATAATTCAAGACAATTCCAGAGCTAAAATTATCTGAATTATTCCAGTGAATGTGTATAGAGTTTAAAAACACAGTGGAGCATTTCTTGTATTACTGTTAGAGAGAAGAACTGAGCATAAATACGCAAGATTTATGTGCTAAACATGCATGTATGAAATGCAACACAACTCCAGGCATGTTTTTGATGTGAAAACAACATTATGACGTCAGAAAATAGTGTAATATGGGCCCTTTAAGGAAATATATGTACATTTCTGAGTGGGGTTTTGCATGTCTTCCCCACCAGTTTACACAGCTGAAATACAGTCATGATGTATCTTGGCATTGCAAACATTTTTCTATAGCCATGCCATACCACTATGCAGTTTACTTTTCTATCTCTGAAGGACAAAAGAAAGTGAATTGTAGATTAAGGCGAATCAATTCATTCAATCTGGAGTGGATAAGGTGTTAGCAAGTGTACAGACATAAATCATAGTGCTATCTGGAGAGTACTACTTCAACCTGTCTTTTTCCAATATGTGACCAAATAGAAAGCAATTGTCCACATTTTTGCACTTGAAAAGTTTACAAATAGCATGCAGTGTTTGGCACGACTCTGCATAGATTACATAAAGGTTTATTGCAGAATGTCAGTTTCCAAGGCAACTGTATTTTTGTGTCTTTCTCATTCCCGTCCATCCACTCTCTCAGAACAGAGCTCTTTTGTTAGTGCAGGGGCCTGTCTGTTTGTTGGTAAGCTTTGGTAGTGTAGTGTGATGTTTCAAGTGGAGTGGAAAAAATATTCAAGATGTAGCAGACTACTGTACAGAGCTGAGTAGGGCTGGCAATCACAGGGTCCCTCACGAGTCGATAATACATGATATGTGGCTCACAATACACATACATATTATCATATTATTATATCACACATGATACTTAATAATACTTTGCTGCTTTTTAAGAGCCAAATACATTTTAGCAACAATATTTCTTTGTTAATATGAAATACATCTATTTTTTATCATCAAAACAGTGAATATGTCAAGTGTCTTGCATAAACAAGTTTCCTTCAATAAATGAGCAACAAAATTATAGTGCGGTCACAAAATATTGTTGCTGATATATCGATACAGTAGCCATGTATGATAACGGTACTGCATCACCAAATTTAGTAACATACACAACCACAGCTGAGTATAGGGTTATTTTTTTACTGTTGAAAACAATATTGCACCAAGTGAGCGAAACTGTGTGTATAGTGACCAGCAGTATAGTCTGATATGTTTGTGCTGAGCAGATGCTGTAATATAAATTATAGTAGTAGTCGAGAGACAATTTCATCATTCAAGATTACGTCTTCCCTTGCTTTTAGAGAGGTAAGATAACTCATAAAGTTGTGGTCTGATTTCTAGGTGATCATTCAATAAGGCTGTATGGCTGAAAAGGAGAGAGGGATAGGGGCAGTCTGGGAAAGATAGAAAGACCATATCTTTACTTTTGGCTGTGGATGAGGTCTTCTCTCAGTAATTTAAATTTGTTTCTTTTTACATGTCATAATTTAGCAGTTGTATATTTCACAAAACGAACTTTTGTGAACTTTAATGTTATTACCTCCTCAAAATCATCCCTGGAGTCGTGTTTCATTTCATTCACACATGTTTGAGTAATCCTTTATTATTAATCTGTCTATATCTCAAAATCTCAAAATCCTCTGTTCTACCTTGTGATGTTATGCAGTGGTAATATGATGTTAACAGTTACCTTTTACTTTTTGTTTAATAAAGATGAAAATTATATGAAAATGAAAATTCCTGGGCTGAAATGATCCAAATGATTCTAGTGAAGGTGTATGGAGTTTAAAAACACAGTGGAGCACTTCCTGTATTACCACATGACATCACAAGGTGGAGCATAGTGTTTTCATTAACCTAAATATGCAGGGATTGTGTGTTAAACCTGTGTGAGGAGACAACAGTATAACATAGACCAGAAAAAAGCATAATATGGCCTTTAATCTTTATGAAGTATTCTTTTTTTCAAATACATGCTTTTCAGTCTCTTGACAGTCTACTTCTGAGAACAATCAGACATATTGATTTTCTAAGTTTCAAAATAGCATTGTTATATTGACTATGCCTCTCATGTCTCAGCAACTCAAAACCTCTCCATTGTAGATCTCATTCTGACCTATTTCCTATATTACTGTTACATTCTTGAGTTAGTTAATCTAAATGCCATACAGTATAATGATAATAGTGAGTTTTTTTTTGATGATTTGTTGATTTGTTGTTGATGACAATGATTTTTAGACAGCACACATTTCAAAGGAATGCTTGAAGTAATGTTGTTATCTTATCAAAAACGTACCTGGAGCTGTGTTTTGTTTCATTCACACATGTTTAACACACAATCCCTGGATATTTAGTAGTTATTCTCTTAAACAGAAAAGTCTCTGTTGCACCTTGTGGTATCATGTGGTAATATAGGAAGTGCTCCACTGTGTTTTTAAACTCCATACACCTTCATTCGAATCATTTGGATAATTTCAGCCCTGAAATTTCCAATCTCTACTAAATAAAAGGTAAAAAGTAGCTGTTACTTAGCTGTTAAACTACTGCTCCATCAAATGAAACAGAAAATGCACACCAAGTTCTTATAGAGGAGCAAATGCAAGTGACAGCAATCAAAAATGAAAAAAAAAAAAAAAAAAGCACACTCAGAGGGCTGATGTCCAAAAGCTTTTTTTGTTTTTAAATTAAGTTTCGGCAAAATTGTCAGATCATTTCTCTTGCTTTGGACCTACTGGAACTACTGCTTCATGACATCACAACAATTGAACAGAGAATTTTAAGCTTTGGAGATATAGAAAGTCTAATAAAAGCATGTGTGAATGAAACAAAACACAACTCTGAGTATGTTTTTGATGAAGTAAGAACACCCAAGGCTTAAAGCTCACAAGAGTTAATTTTGATTGAAATTGTCTATTGGCTGAACTTGTCACCCATGCCACACTTAAACTTGCTCAGAGCAAATTAGGAACTTCTAATAAGTCCAGATAAATCCAATCACTGTTGTGTGTACTGCTGCTGCACTTGGATCTTATTTATTCTGATAATGTTTCCACTAAGGCACAAAGAGCTGCTATTTATCACGAGGACAGGCCCAGGGTCGAAGTTGCACTGCAGTTTTAAGGTTTCAAATGAATCACACCTATTGTTATTTTGTTTTGTTCTACATGTGAATAGGTTTTCCATTTAGCCATTTTTAACAACAGACTGTGCTATAGAAATTCCTGCTGCAGATGTCTTAAACTTCCTCTTCCTGTGGCCATTTTTGTAATAGGAATAGTGTTTTTTATGACTCAGAAGCGTGTGTCTTGTTTGTGTCAGTTGTGATAACCATAATTGGAATCAGAAATGACTTCTCTTGTCACAACACAAAATGTACTAATAGGCACTGGCACAAATCCAATGTATGGGGCTTTGACTTAATGTTTCACAATATGTCTCCTGAGTAATTACAAAACATAACATTCTTTTTAGGGTATTTTTTTATGGTATTTACTTTTCTTATAGCCCGGAAAAAACAAGTGTTGGTTGCTAAATTGGAAATTCTGTTTTCTGTGCCTAAAATTGTGAGAGTGAATCTGTCTTGCAACCAACTGACTGCATCTATATCCTGTCTATGGCCTCATAGTTGATAGAAAAATTGCGCTACTATATAAAGAACATCTCCAGCTCAGTCCATGTTATCTGGCTTACATCAGTATAATACTCCCTACAATGGAAGCATGGTGAGACTTGAATGGACAATACTACCATACTGTGTACTCCTGCCTCTATATAGTTTTACAGCTATATAATTTTAGAGCTTTTATTCTCTTTTTTTTGTTTCATGCTGATTTGGTACGTTTTACTTGAGATAATCTTTACATTCGGGATGCACTGATACAAGTTTTTCTGTTCCAATACTGATACAGGTTTAATATTATGAGACGTTTTGGACCAACACTGGTTAGTAAATCATCCTTCTTAGACCAGTTTATAGTAGACCAAAGTGGAATATTGAGTAAACCGATATCTTGGAAGCCGACATCTGATCCATATCATTCATATCATTATTTGGTCTCTTTTATCTGATTATGACTTGTAGCTTGATACTTCCCTATTGGTTGACATAAGCTTAGCATAAATAAAAATGATATGATCTGCATTCCTTTTTTGACTTAAGATGCTGTCAGTAAACCCATTGAACCCACAGAAAGAAGACTGCTGACTTTGAGTTGTTCTGTGTAGTGTGAATCTCTGAGGAAAGGAAACAAAGGGAGGAGTTATTGAAGGACACTAGAGGAGACAGGCCAAGGTGGTAGTGTGGTGCTCCTCACAGCATCATGCTAATGAGCCCATTATCATACCCCTCCCTCAGGCACTCAAACATACTGTGTGTTTTCTCTTTGTCTCGTCCTGACACTCTGCTGTTTGGAAAAGCTGCGTGACACAACATTTCCTTTTTAAATGTCACCCCTTCATATTCAAACACTGAGTCACGAGAACCCTGTGCATATGTAGTATTGCCATAGCTTTAGGCCAATCTGCTCATACCATGTGCACCCATTCCCTCCCTCTCTCTCCCACACTACCCCTCCCCTCCCTCGATGGTACGCTCCACTCTCCTGTCTGTCCTCTCTCTCTCCTGTCATCCTTAACAGGCTCCACACTCGCACTTGCGGAGACCAGCCACGCAACATACGGACAAGCTGTTTATAGACTTCTCTCTGCAGCACAGCGCCTTTGGATGTGCCCAGCCATGCCCCAGTGAGCCGCCTATCCCTCACTCACACGGAGGAGTGCATGTGCGCAGAGCAAAGGATGCGCGCTGGGGGTCTGGTGCTGCCGTGGTGATCGTGGACTTCGGTAGCGTAGTATCGCCAATCCTCATCTACAGTTGTCCCTCCCTTTCTCCTGCTCGAGCTTCCTTTGCCGGGATGTCCACCTCTCCTGGAGCAACCGATGGCAGCCAAAGGAACTCTTGTAAGTCTCCACACATGCACCATTGTTAGCGTTGTTGTTTGGCTTGGTGCGCCCGTTGAACTTTGACAATCCAAAATGTGGAAGTGAAAATCCTTAGCATAATTGTTTGTGATGTGATGTGATGAGAGAGAGAGAGAGTGCTTTCTTGTTTACATATTCCCTGGAGCACTGCCAGCTGAGGATCTATAGAAGCAGTGGTCTATACATTGATTGACAAGCCAAACAGCTGCCGTGATTGATTCAACCCATTTTGCCGTTATGGTTTCTAACAGTGCTATCTTAAAGTGCATTAATGGTGCAGTATGTAACTTTTCTGGCCATGGAAATGTTATTGATTTGCTTAAATGTGTCAGTTTATCTTGCCTTTATTTAGGCAAGATGGACAGCCTTTATTGGGTGTTTTATGAAGAAATACCTTGAAAAACATGCTTACTAGGAGCTGGATTGCCTCTCCACAAATCATTTACATCTTACATTTAATGCCATACTGTGGAACATTCAATTCCAGGCAATCTCCACAGAGGCAAGCAGATGGCATGACCCTCCACCAGAAAAGTTACGTAGTGTGCCTTAAGATTACAAGCTTCTAATACTAGAATTTAGAAAGATTATTAATATTTAGTCTGTCGATACACACATTCAAGTACTGTTACGAGTCTTTGATAAAATCCGCACTGTTCTGTTTGGTTATCTTCGTTGGATTGATGTTATAATAATTTTCTTTTGTTGTGGGTGGGTTTTACAGGTAACATTTGATGGCAGTAGATTGTGAATATTGACTGTGTGGGACTGCACTCCAGCTCCACACATATTTCTGTGAGAGGGAGGCAGTGCTGTAGTGGGTGATTGATAAGATGATATGACTCATTTTGACTCATTGGTGGCTCAGTGGGAATACACATGCACTTTTATTGAGGAGGAGAGGATCACATCTGGGCAAATGAGACTGCTTTTATTACATCCATTATTATTGCACCATCCCAGGCTTTTTCCATCAGGATGTAATTCACCGGCTCACTGACAGTGTTGTTTTCCTGGGTTAGGTGACTTAATGCTTTTTTCAGTTAGCATTCTTTTCTATCATGGATATTGTGATCACATATGCAATTTTTACATGCTGTACGAGAATATAGTGTATGATACTTGGAGGGGACCACACCAGGCATCAGTCTATTTGTCAATTTTATCCTTTACTGACCCCTTTTGTCAGGAGGTGGTGTGGTTGTGATAAGTTATAGAAGTATACTTTTCTGGTCAAGGGCCTGCCACACGCTTGTCTCCATGGAGATATTATTACTTTGCCCAGAATGTTCCACAGGATGGTGTTAAACGTTTAAGATAAGTTTAAGATAAGCAGGTAATGGCACCAGGTCAAATCTGCGGAGAGTTGACTAAACTCACTGTGAGAATATATACATAAGTATTTTCCAGCAATAAAAACACACGATGGATGATTGACAAGTCCATCCATCTATTTTCTTTCGCTTATCCAGGGCTAGGTCGCAGGGGCAGCAGTCTAAGCAGTGACTCCCAGACTTCCTTCACCCCAGACACGTCCTCCAGATCCTCCGGGGGAACCCCGAGGCGCGAACAAGACCCTGAGATACTTGAACTCCTCCACTTGAGGCAAACATCCATAACATTTAACAAAATACAATAATCAACATTTAACAAAATACAATAATCAACATAAAAAAACACAAAAACATAAAGCAACACCCACAACACCCACAACAAATATAAAACCCGACCACGCACACCGACACAAATTTGGTTAAATAAAACAAAAGTAATGTAGTAGTGCAAAATAAACACACCACTTGGCCCCCTTACATTGATATATATTGGCCAATTTATAATTCACAACATTTAACTGTCCTTTTAGTCAGACTTGGGTTACTTCAGTGTTACGTGCAGTTGTAAATCTTATAGTTGGGGCTGCATGCTTCTTACTGGTTTGTTCCTTGTCAGAACCCATTCATCACATTATACTGTTCACAGCAGCACACTATGGAGGAAATATCAAGTAGCTGCTGGCTATGCTTGTGGATTTACTCACCATAATCTTACATAACTAAACTGTCCATCAACCACAAATAATATGATCTCATGTGTTCCTCAGTCTTCAGTTATTTGTCAGTATGTTTTATAATACCAATATACAGATGTGTAGTTGATTTAACAGAACTCTAGTCAATTCTTTATTTCTGAGGCATACAAGTAAAAATCTTCTAATCATCTTTGTGGTAAGCGTCTCTAGGTAGAGCCATTGTAATGACTTGACAGTTGTAGTTCTTGAAATCTCTGGGTTTTTCTCTCTGGATTTCACAGTGATGAGAAATTAGGATGGTTGCCATAGCAATTAAACACTGATTAGCATTATGTTTTGCTTATGAGTTATGAGAATCTTACATAAAACTAAAAATAGCCTGAGTCCCTATTTCAGGAGCAGCATTAAACCCTGCCTTTGTAGAGCAGACAGATTTTGGTCGTAGCAGTGTGAAGTGCTTTGTAAATGTTTGCTCAGGAGTGTGTTATCGCTCGGCCGCACCTCTCTCATCTTTCCTCTCCTAGCACGTCTCGTAGCTCGTCTCCTAGCCCCTCTCCTAGCTCATCTCCTAGCACGTCTTCTAGCTCGTCTCCTAGCTCCTCTTCTAGCTACTCTCTTAGCTCCTCTCCGAGCTCCTCTCTTAGCCCCTTTCCATCTTTTCTCTCCTAGCTCATCTCCTAGCACCTCTCGTAACTCGTCTCCTAGTTCCTCTCCTAGCTCCTGGTTCCTCTCTTAGCTCCTCTCCATCTTTTCTCTCCCTGCTCTTCTCCTAGCTTCTCTCCTAGCTCCTCTCTTATCTCCTCTTCTAGCTCTTCTCCTAGACTTTCTCCTAGCTCCTCTCCTAGCCCCTCTCCTAACTCCTCTCTTAGCCCTTTTTCAAACTCTTTTCCCAGCTCTTCTCCTAGTCCTTCTCCTATTTGCTCTCCTAGCTCCTCTCCTTGCTCCTCTCCTAGCTCCTAGTTTGTGTCCTCTGTAAAGCAGCCACAGCCGGCACCTGCCACAGAGATGTATGTGCTGTGTCATCACTTCTGCAGCCTCCTCCGCCCTCCCTCTCCCCCGTCACCTCCTCCTCTTCCTCCTCCTTTCCATAGACCTCCTCCTCCTTTTTCCTTCACCCGTCCTTCCCTCCCTGGCCTGGTTTATCGGGTCCACATGAAACTTTAATTGCATGTAAATCAATGCTCCTCAGATGTGATTAGTCTTTTGTACTGTTTTAATGAGTGGGGTCTGGACTATTCAAATACGGTACGCGCGCTGTCTCTCAGGGCTCAAGCTCCTCTACAAAGAAGTCGAATGGAAATTTTTAAGTCCCAAATGAAAACGGTCCGAGAGAATTGGCGTGTTTTATGAGCCTACTTATTAAGTTAAAAAGTGTTAAAGGGGGTTTTACCAGTCATTGTGTGAAGATGCATTTGACTGGTGATTTGTGCCCAGAGCTTAAGTGACCGTTTGGTGCTGTCAGATAACGCTTAAATTTACATCATCATTAGAAACAAAATTATTCCTAGGGGTGTGCAAAAATATTGAAATATCGATATATCGTATCGTTTAATATAATACAATATTGATATCGGGGACTGCTGTATCGATATATCTGCAAGAGTATTTTTGGAGGCTTCCTCAGATTTCCTCAGGACAGCATCCCAGGTGTGTGAGAGTAAACACACACCTGGAAGACTGTCCTGAGAAAGTCGGAGTGCAGATGGCGCTGTCATCCTGCCTCCACCAGTAGGAAGACAGCACCCAAAACCTGTATAAATCAGCTGACGGGACACGTCACAGCAACATCACGTGACCACTCTGAGGAAGACCACTAGTGAGCAGTCGAAGCTGTCAAAAGAACCTAATAACATAAATTATCGGAAGACCAAATGAACCTCATTAGACTAGATTTGTTGAAGAAGGAAACTCGTTTATGTCACACATTTGACATTTTTACTGTTTTGATGATTAAAATGTTTGTGTTTCATTTTATCTTTGCACAAGAAGTGGTTTAACAAAGACTTTTAGTATCACAGCCATGATTTAGCCTTTATATTTTACTGAACTGTATCGACTCAATTTGAAATATATCATATCGAACCAAAAGTGCTCGAGATATGTATCATATCGTGGCCCATGTATGGAGGCATGTATCGCATCGGCAACTTTTTAATGATACCCAGCCCTAGTCATTCCTTTAATAAAATAAGTTACACACTACAAAAAAAGCTATAGAATCATTTGAGCAGGCCACTCTGAAAAGAAAATCACATCAATCAGTCAAAATTGTCCCTTTCCTCAATAGTTTTGGTCTTAGTTTTATCTCAACTAGTATAAGACCTCATGTTAATCTTAAAAGTCAATATTATTTTGCATTGAAAATGACATTCTCGTGTATAAAAAGGAGGGTTTACTGGGTGTTGAGTGTTTTTTTCTTTAGTATCAAAATCAGGTTTTTCTGGTGTTACAGTATAGGTGATACTTCTGTAGTGTCAATTGGAATGAGTACAGTAATTCAGTGTTTGTCAAGTATTCCCATGTTTGTGTATTCAGCAAACATCCCTGTATACGTAATGACAAGATGGTGGTAACTGTCTAATTAGTGGAATCAAAACGTGTGTGAAGCATGTAAACACAGAGGCAGAGGAGCATTTAAATGGAGGTCACGCTCTCTTTGATTTGACTGAGGAAGGGTCGGCCTCTGAAAACTGCTGCTAATTGTCTCTGAGGATGAGTCTGGCCTGAACCATGACAGAATGTGTGCTCCAGTCACAGGGAGAGAATGGATTATATTAAACTCCATTGACTCCAATTTCGAATGGGACAAAAATGCTAAATGGAAAACATAAACGCCTATAGTACTCGATTTTCTTGCTTCAGTGTGTTTTTTAAAATTCACACACCCTCACTAGAATCATTTAGCTGATTTTAGCTATAGAGCTGCCAATCTCTACTAAAAAGAGTAAAA